TCTTTCTTCAACCCAATTTAGATGAGTGGGGTTATCTGAAATACTTTAAAGAAAGTTGTATCTTAGAAACTTGGGGAGTTGGAGGATGTACCTCCAACTCCCAAATAAATTGCATTTGTCAGAACAACTAGTGAAGTACAATACTATTGTTATTAAACTGGCTGATAAAGGAGGAGGGGTTGTATAATTGGATAAATGTGAAAATGAAGTAATGAGGCAGCTGCAAGATAGTGAAAAATATTTGGTACTGAAAAAAGATCCAAAAAGCCAAACTTTGACATCAATAAAAAGGCTGCTACCTAAGATCAACAAAAGTTTGGTGGATCCTCCACTGAGGTCAATTGTATCTATTGTTGAGTCACATTCTTCTAAACTAGCATAGAGTATATACTGAAGATTTACACTTGCAACCCCTGATACATGCACTTGCTTCCTAAATTTGAGAGATACAAAAGATACTCTAAAGAGCTTACAAAAAATCGAATGGCAGGAAAGAGAAGAAAATACGTTTTGTTATTGAGGCAATTCAGATTGTATTGGTAAATAATACCTTTTATTTTAAGGGATCTCACTACAGTATAAACAACTTAAGAGGTCAGTGATGGGTTGTAAATTTGCTCCATCACATGCCAACATCTTTATGAGGGTATGGGAACAAATTTTCATACTCTAAAAAAATTTAAAAATGATGTGCTGTTTTTACAAACTGTATAATGATTGTGTGTTCATCTGTGGAGTGTCTTCAGGAGCTTATTTTTAACCTTAATAATGTGGAATGGAATATGGCATTCACCACCACCTACGGCCAATTGGAAACTAACTTTTTGGACTTAACAATGAAAATTATTGTCAGCTCTATACCCAGGAATTTTTATACCCAGGTGTATAAAAAAGCAAAGGCTGCAATGGGGGTGTGCCCACGGACAGCTGCCATTACAAACTGTGGATTATGGCAGTAGTAAAGGGAAAATGTTTGAAATACCAACATTTTTTTACTGATAAGCAGACATTCTTAGAGCAGGCTGAGGATCTTCAAGCTAAGTGTCAGGATCCAGAGCACCTCCAGGTGGCGCTGGAGCCAGGTCCTGCAGTTCCTGTGCTCGCCTGCAGGTGTTTCCAGGCAGCCAGGAACTGTCAGGTACCAGACCACCACTGGGTGGTGCTGAAACCTGCGACTCCAGTGCTCACCTGCAGGTGTCTCCCAGCTGCCAGCAGTTATCCACTACCTGGTGCTTCCTGGGAGGGTATTTAATCCTGCAGTCAGGACTGTGGCCCAGTATCCTGTCGCCTTTCCCTGACTGAGTCCTGTGCCCTGAGCCTGTTGCCATTTCCTGTGAATCCTGAGTCCCACGTCCGGAGTCCTGTAACCTGCTTGCAGCCTGTTGCCATTACCTGCTTGCAGTCCTGAGTCCTGTTACCTGTTTGCAGTCCTGAGTCCTGTTACCTGCTTGCAGTCGAGAGTCCTGTTACCTTTCTTGCAGTCCTGAGTCCTGTTACCTGCTTGCAGTCCTGAGTCCTGTTACCTGCTTGCAGTCCTGAGTCCTGTTACCTGCCTGTACCCTGACCCTTTGTCCCTTAGCTCCCCTGGTGTGGCCCAGCTCCCCTGGTCTTGCCCTGCCCTCCAGGTTTACCTGGCTTGTATACCCTGGGTGTGTATTCAGCTATTTGCTCCTGGTTTAGGTACTTTATGTTATCTTTGGTATGTGTTTGTGGTTATATTCAGTCGGTTACTTTACTTGTGCTTGCTTGTGGATGTTGGTGGGGTTGTTGTGCTTGTTTTGCTGTTTACAATAATTTGTATACAACTCATTGATCTTGTCTAGTGTAGTCATACTAATTTGGTCCTCCTGCGTGGGTACCTGCATGCAGTGTGGGGACACTCGCGCACGGTACCCTGACACTAAGTTTTTATAGAAGGGATTTAACAGATGTATTACTACTGACAGGGAAGATCTATTGGCTGATAAACATATACACGAGGAGAAGGAACAACCCCCTTTTTGTGTTCTGTCATTTGGAGATGATAAAGACAGGTAACCAGGATAATAACCAAATAATGGCAAGTCCTGAAAAAGACCATATTTGGAAATCTATTTTTGCTCATAAACCAAAATTTGTATTCCCCAGGGCCCCTACATTAAGGGATTTGTTACTGAAAGGTTGTGTAGAGGATAAGAAACCCTCCTATAGGACTTTCCTCATAGTGGGGAAAGGTTTTAGGAGATGTAAAGGTGTTTTGCCTGTAGAAATACTCACGACAAATGGAAGATCATAACGAATTTATAGTTTAACATAATTGTACAAGAATTTTTTACCTGTAATTCAACCAATTCAGTCTATTTGGTTGAATGCCAGTGTAGGCTTCAATATATTGGCCATACAAATTAGACCGTGGGTAAACGTACTGAAGAACATAACATTAATATTAAGAAGGGTGAAAAAGCTTTTCAGAACACTTTAGAAAATGTCAAAATAAGGATCCAAACTAATCTCGCTTTCCAACAGGTCAAGGCTAATTGGAGGGGTGGTGACATAAATGATTGGATAGAAAATAAAGTGAATGGATATGTAAAGAAGAACTTCGAGCAACATTTTCATTAACTGTTGCAGTGTGGGGGGAGCCCATATATCCTCCCATATATATCCACCCCTTTATAGTCCACAACATCCTACAAAATGGACTTATAAAAAACAATTAATGTAAATTCCGATTTTAACCCCTTAGGATAAACACTCGTGTAAAAAACGTTTTTATTAACCCTTGCAGTGGGACTACCCCCACACTGCAAGGGTTAACTGGCCATTTTGGTCTAGAAAGGCAAATAACAAAGTTATTCTGATCCGATCCTCTGAGCGGGCTGGCTGTGACAGCGCTCCCTCCAGCATCCCTCCCTGTCTTCTCCTCCACTGCAGTGATGGTATGTCCTTTGGCATCCTCATGTCCTATACACAGGGTATAGAAAGTGATGACCCAGGGACCTCAGACAGCTGCAGTAGAGGGGGAGTGAGGGTGGAAGGACTGGTCTAAGAGCAAGCCAGTTCAGAGGATTGGGTCATTATAATTTTTTGATTTATTGTGGTGGTGCTACTCTCTGCACTGCAAGAGTTAACTGCTCATTTTGATCTAGGGAGGAAAATAACAAAGTTATACTGACCCGATCTTCCAAGCTGGCTGGCTATGACTGTGCCGCCTCTAGCCTATCTCCTCTTCCACTGCAGCAATGGTATGTCCTTTGGTGTTCTCGTGTCCTATACACAGTGTAAAGAAAGTGATGACTCAGAGACCTTAGACCACTGCAGCAGAGGGGGAGTGAGGCTAAAAGGATCAGTCTAAGAGTATGTCAGCTCGGAGGATCGGGTGAGTATAACTTTTTTATTTTCCTCCCTAGACCAAATAGAGCAGTTAACCCTTGCAGTGAGTGGGTAGCCCCACTGCCAGGGCTAATAACATTTTTACCCAGAAATCTTCTTTAAAATAATTAATTTTTATCCTATGGGGTTAAATGTGGAATTTAACCCAAAGTCAATTTTGTAGGATGTTGTGGAAATGTATGCTTATAATGATTAATGTTTTGATTTTTATATGCATTGTTGTGATTGGGTGTTTAGTGCCATCTGTTAACATCTCCCTAATGGCAGAGAATGAGTTCTATGCAGTTTACTGATGAACAAATGTCACCAGCACACCACCGGTATTGCAGTCCAAAGATTTTGTTTATTGGAACGTCATGTCACCAAAACATGACGTTCCAATAAACGAACTCTTTGGACTGCAATACTGGTGGTGTGCTGGTGACATTTATTCATCTTTATACTGTGTGGCGGCGCCATCCGCAGGTGACTACAAGCACCCCCCCTCATTCAACTTTAGTTTTTTCCGGTAAGAAGTGTGACAAGATATCTTTTTGTTTGTCTCTATGCAGTTTACTGGTACAGATTTTATATTAGTTAGGCGTTGGGAGTGTTGGAAAGCAGGAGAAGCACAACTACTGTTTGTGAAGTTACCAAGGGTTACCACTGATGGGATTACCCAGGTGACATTGCATATTTAATGCCCATTCTAGATGACACATGAGCATTATTTTATTATTTTTCGAATAAACATACAGTGATACTACTCATGGGAGAGGTCTCTTGTTTATTCTCTATGTTACAGTTTGCCTGCTGGCAGTGAGATTATGTTGTTTATCACACGTGGTGGGCTAATACACAGTACAAACACAACAATGTCCCAAGATGAAGATTTCCTTGTGGCTGTGATAGAAAAAGAGGAGCTAAATTCCTGGGATTCTTTGCATCAAGACTATAAGACAATTTTCCTGATGTCCAAAGGGTTAATATGTGTAGAAAAGATTTACAAGGCACTGTGTTTTACTTTGCCATTGCTGTAGCAGCATAGGATGGATGGGATGGCTGCATGAGAGCTACTGCAATGCTTTTAAGAGTACCTGGCATCAGCTCAAACTTTTGAAGTTTAATAACTCACTAATACATTTATTTATTGCATGAAGAGGATAGTTCTGTAAGGACCACATTTTGGAGCTAGGTATATGTTTTATAAAAGAGATGTTATCTCTGAATTCCTCTCATTACTAAGCAGAGACAGGCAAAGCATCAGCTACACTGAGGTTGTATTTGAGTATGAAAAGCAGTCACTATTCTGGCACTTTGGGAAGCGCTGGCTTGTCTTTTTTGTTTTTTTAATGTTAGCTTTGGGTGCATGCTCATTTGTTACTTTAATACGTTTAGAATAATAACATCAGTGTTGTGTCGTTCTGGTACAACCGTAGCGATGTTAATGACACTGTAGATGTGCAGTCATTCATTAAGCAAATTAACTGCTACATGGTCATGTCTTATGGAATCCATTGATCACACAGACTTCATCTGCAGTCCTAAAGCAGGGAGGTGATGACGACTTTTTAGTAAATCCCTGTGGGATCTGGAGTGACGTCTTCACAGAAGCCACTCGAGTTAGCCTTGATGACCAGCCCTTCTCTCCCACACGTTTTATAGGAGCATGTTCCAGGCTCAGAGTATTAAAAGAAAGGAGCAGAGCTTGGCTAAGTATACGACTTGCACTGTCAAGCGGTGAAAGATCAGAACTTGCAGCAGCACACGCGTCCCTTTCCTGGAGCCTTGGCTGGGACTCTGAATTTCAACACCACGGATAGCGAAGCATCCACTCCTTGTACAATTGGGGACTTCTGACAAATTCCCTTGTTTTCCAGATCGAGGACATACAGCAGGAAAGAGGAAGCCCTAGATTTTTTGGTAAGTACATACAGAATGCTGCTTAAATATGTAAATACAGTTATCTATTGCACACTTTTCAGGGGACCCAAAAAAAAAAAAAAAACTATGAAAATTGAACACATTCAATAAACTAACTAGCCTGTGTATCTTTCATGACTTTAGATTATATAGGTATTATATAGATGTATTTTAATACCTAGAATTTTCAATTTTGTGAGACATTTGGAGACAGATTCTACTATTAGTTAACACTTTACAGGATATAATTTACATACATGCTATTAGTAGAGGAAAGCCAGCCAAGAAGCTACACAGTAACATAGTACTTTTATCAATGTTTGTAGTATTTTAACATAGCTATAATTAGTAAGCACATGGCAAGTGTGTTTTGCATCTCTTTTTGGCTGTTTGCACACATTCCTGCAAAACAGTCCCCAATACCATGGGGATTAGATAAAACACTTAGAATTAATGGGAATCAGACTTAACACTTATACTATGAATAACAGTTGTGAATCAAAATATAATTATATACCACAAAGAGCAGTTAACACTTTACAGAATACAATGCACACAAACACATTTTATTAATAGAGACAAAAGCCAGCAAAGGAGTCACACAGTAACATAGTGCTTTTTGCAATGCTTGTAGTATATTCAATACAGCTGTCATTTGTAAACACACAGCAAGTTTGTTTTGCCTATCTTTTTTTGTTATTTGCACACATTCCTGCAAACAAGTCCCTAATACCATGGGGATCAAGTAAAACATTTATGAATATTGTCAATCAAACTATAAGTATACAGCACTTAACCCTTTACAGAATAAAGTTTGCAAACATGCTCTTGGTAGAGGAAAGCCAGCCAAGGAGCTAAACAGTAACCAAATACTTTTTTCAATCTTTGTAGTATATTCAACAGAGCTATTATTAGTCATTATGATGATTATGATGATGATTATTATTTTCTGTTTGTTAACATTCCTGAAAAACAGTCCCTAATACAATTGGGATCAGATAAAACACTTGTACTCTGTCAATTAATATAACAGTATATACCACAAAGAGCAGTTAATCCCATTACATCTCCTTTCCCAAGATAAACTGGAAATACGAAGGTTAAGGCTGGAGGCAATAAAAATAAAATTATAAACCACAAACAGCAGTTGACTGGTTAACATTTTAATAGCTTGCTTAACTTTATATATGTATTTATATATGTATTATTGGTTTATACTAGTATTATATACACTGGAATATGCTGATTCTATACAGAAATGGCAAACAAAGTATTGTGGCTCATCTTTATAAAACTATTTCCATAAAATCTGTCATCTTTTGGTCCAAGTTTCAGACATTGAATTTTAATAATATTATTATGTAAGAATGAAGCCGGTAAGCATATATGGCAATTAGTGCTCTGAGACCACTTATTTATATTTAGAATGAAATGAAATTAGTTGCAATTAGTTGTTTTTTTAATGTCCATAGTAATAACCTGTCTACAGTAAAAACAGCATTGAATGGATAGGGTTAGGAATAACAAGTGCTTATGAGGCATGTAATATGTTATCTACAATATTGTAGCTTTGCTTTCCCTTGATTCAATATGACAAGTGGTTTGTACTTCAACAGAGCTGAAGTTATGGAGCACAGAACCATCTTCCACCTTACGGTGACTCTCACCTTGTTTAGCGTTTTCTACCTCCGAGCACTCGCATTACCTCCTTTAGGGTCATATTCTAACAGCAGGTAAGGCTTCCTTTTTTTTTTTTTTTAAATGTATTCTTAAGTCAACTTGGTAGTTTGTTTTATTCCATTTTCCCAGTAACAGTGTTACTGCTAACACCCACTTATGAAACCAGTGGCACCTCCAGTCTTAACCACATTGGAGACATAAGGGTTGTTTTAAGGGGTTGAGCACAAATAGGCTGCTCATTTTACAAGAGATTTTGCACTTTGCAAAGGAATTTTCACCTTAGCTTAGTGAATGTGGTGAAAATTGACTTTGCAAAGAATACTCCGTCATGAGCAAGGAAAATAAAAAAATACATATTTTTGCTTGCACATGATTGGGTGATGAAAGTCATCAGAGCTTCACCTCATTCACTAAGCTAAGGGGAATTCCCCTGCAAAGTGAGCAGCCATTTGCCTTTAAAAAATCAACTCCATAGAAACAAAGCAACATCATGCATTGTTAAGAAATTAAAAATGAATAGGTGACCCCCAACTCGTGGCTCAGGGGCTACATGTGGCACCTCTGTTGTGGCTCTTTGCAGTCTTACAGCAACTGTTCAGTGCCTAAGTGCCTGAACCTTTACTGCATTATACTCCTCACTTAAGCCAGTAATATTTTCAAATGCAGTGCCTCCACTTGTTTTACTGGTGCTAACAAGCTAACAAAGTTTGGGGGCCTCTAACTTACATTAATAACTCATATGCCTGTTGATACACTTTACCAAACATAAATGGGTAATTTATTTACTTTAACTCCCATCTACATCTTGAATATAATATCAATTGGCTTTAAGGACTTTGAGAAAGGGAAATAGCTTTAGGTTTCTCTTGGTTTTCTGTGGTTTCAGAACTTATCCCATTATGATGAATGAGTTTACAACACCGTTTAAGTGCTAGAACATATTTCCAAAGTGACATAATGGAGTGTATGTGGCTATAAATCACTTTTGCAATTCCTCCCAGTAAGCAGCATTCTCTCTAGGGATGTACAGTCTGGCTGCCATTTATTGGACAGCTTTACAAGACATTAATACAAATTCCCTGAGCTTTTATGGTACATAAATCAACAAAATTAGGAGCAGTGGCTATTCACAGCATGGCACCAAGAAACTGTAACAGAGCTTCTAGGCATATTTTTCACTGTAATATACTATGCTTAAAATGCCCTCTGCCCCTACCATGGTGTTTCCACTATCATGTACCTTAAACTGAACTCTGCAATTAATTTGTCATTGCACCTCCCTGTGATAATAGCATGACTCTTTTTGTACACACTAATATTGATTTACTGTTTTTCATCTCTATAGTTATTTTGGGTGGTATGGGGCTTTTTGGGTAATAGCCCACAGTATAATACTAGTGTTAAAACATGTTTTTGTACATTTGTTTTAAACTATCCCCAATCTGAGTATGATTAATGCTATCGATCTATCTATCTATCTATCTATCTATCTATCTATCTATCTATCTATCTATCTATCTATCGCTCTCTCTTTTCATTCCAGTGGTATAAAGATATATACTGGATTCCAACATGGGTTCAGTATATCGAACACTAAAATGTAAAACTGGCAAAGCTATAGCCTACATTTACAAGTCTATAATTTGCCTTGCTCATCAGTGACAGTGATGTTAACTGCAGGAAGAAGCTCAGGGTAACAGAAGTGGCTTTTGTCTCTTTGCAATGTCTGTATCATTCTAACTCTAAGCATGGATAGTAAGGTTGATTTAATTCATGAATTGAAAATATCGATTTAGCTCAGTGAACAAGGTGAAGCTGTGTACACTTCAATCATCCAATCCACTGCAAGCAGAAATACATTTTTCTTTAATTTTCCTTGCACCTGATTGGGTATTTAAAGTGAACAAAGCTTCATCTCTTTACTACTGCTTTAGAAAGTCATCCTCCATTGTAGAAATAAATACAGACAGCTTTAGTAAACCATTAAGAATTATGGATAGGTTGAGAACATAAGGAAAAAAAATCAAGTGTATTATCAGCATATTTATTTACTTATAGGCTTATGTAATAGTGCTGGACTCTGTTACAGACAAGTTTATAAAGCAGTGAATGTGACTTTCACCAAACATTTATTGGTGGTGAATCACTCAGTTACTTAAAACACATGCACCTGAAAGATTTACATGCAGTAACTTATATAGATATATATTATTTTGTATTTTTTTTCAATTATTCTTTATTGGTTTCTTTCTTGCTCTCCTCTGGGTCAGCTGTAGATATAAAGTCCTGTTTATGGATACTTCCTATTAATTCATCTTTTCTACTCCAGTATTGGTTAAACTTGATGTTAGTAGCTTGATGTCTGTAACTATGTAAAGCAACCAAGAACTTCAGCCAGTTAATCAAAGAATAGGAGAAAATATCACTTCAGTAACAGCAGCAGCTTTTTTTCTAATTGATTAAACAATTCCACATACATCAAGCTAGATATCACTTCTGTTAAGATTACAGGAGTTAGGACAATGTGAAATGAGGATGTATTATATAATAAAATACATATACATTTCTGAAACATTTTGACAAGTCAGTAAAGACATCTGTTGTCTGCAAGCTTAGTGTCATTCCTCTGAGATATACTACTTTCTGATTTACAAAGAACAGGGTAGTCATATTCCATCCTGTGTTCCTCTCCTGCATTACATCAGGAAATTGAGATGGCAGGCTATTGCCTTCTGTGTAAATCAGAAGGTGTTATCTATGAGCAAGGTGAACAGATGTCATGAAATTCTCAGGTGGATGGATGTCATGGTATTCTCAGATGGTAGATTTTGTTGCGGGAGCCTAAGAGGTATGTTTCTAGCATGTGTGTTCATCATCAAACTGTAATTAACCAAATACTGGATTAAGATTAATGTGGGACAAATAATCTTTTATCAGAATTGAGATAAACCCACGATCAAAAACTAAAACATTGCAGTGTGATAGGTTAAAGTCTGTAGGTACTAAAACGTTTTACTGACAGCAGCCCTTTTTTTTCTTTTAGTGACAGCATATGTTTTTCCCTATATGAAAAACATGTCATGTCTGAGATAGCTGTTAGTTACCTGCTAGGAAAAAAGACAGTAGAAACACAGTTAGACAGGTTTCATGTGACATCTGCAGATGTTTTGTATATGTTCTATATATTTTCAGATTATATTTTCTTAGGAGTGTGGCATTTGTATATCCAATATAATATGCATCATCAGTATATAAACAATCATTTATGGAACAAGTGACCTCAATGTTTTATCATCAAATTCAGTAAGTTAAAACAATAAAAAAGAAACAAGCAAAAGAAAAGTAGAATACAAACTATGTAGCCCCAATAATGTGCTTAGGGCAACTAGTAATATGCATAGATTGATTGACTTAGTACAGTGTGCTAAGAAGTCCCAGTGGGTTAAATGTGTTGTACA